GAGAGAGAGAGAGAGAGAGAGAGAGAGAGAGAGAGAGAGAGAGAGAGAGAGGTCAATTGCGCGCGTGACATAATTTCATTGGTTGGAACGAGCCGCCTTTGTGGCAGTTGAGAGAGGAAACAGTTTTGACTCTTCAATGGCCATATGTGCGGTTCATTCCGGCCAATCGGATGATGTCAGGCTGCCAATGACCTCTCTCTCTCTCTCTCTCTCTCTCTCTCTCTCTCTCTCTCTCTCTCTCTCTCTCTCTCTCTCTCTCTCCACCATTCCCCAGCGGGTATCCTACCCACACGTCGGGAAAGGCGGACCCAACGGGAATAGAGATGACACACCAGCACCCGTGCCTGACTTGCGGAGGTTCTGTTCTCAGTGTTCTGGTTCCCTTTATTCTTCTTCTACGTGGTCAGAGGTGAGGTGAGGTGGAGAGGTGAAAATCACGCACACACAGAACAAAGCTTTCATTCAGAAAGTAGGTCACCGCAATTCGTTCTGGTTCCCTAGGTGGTCAAACTGTGGCCAGCAGTGTTTTTTTTTTTTTTTTTTTTTTTTTTTTTTTTTTTTTTTTAAATAATTGTGGCCGCGAGATTTTCAGATTGGTTGGCAGGGACTTGTGTGTACTCGGAACCAGAAGTAGACCTCCTCATGTGGGCCACGGCTCCGGGGCGATGTCCCACTTGCAAAAAGGATAGGATCGAGCTCCTGAATCTGGATGTGTTTTATGCAGAGATGCAGAAACGCAGTTCAATCTCGATTTCCTGCATCTCTCCATAACCTCGTCCAGATTCAGCCATTCGATAGTGGGACCACGCCCCGGAACTTCGGGAACTACGCAATGAATGGGACCAAGCAAATTTACGCCACTTGGAACAATGACGAAGAGTTTGAGTTATTAATTTCATGGAAAATAAAAAAGCGAAAAGGATGTCTGTTTTGACTCTTTTTTTTTTTTTTGTCTGTTTTGACTCGTAATTCTTCTTTTTTTTTTTTTAAGTGGAAAGGAAAAGCGAAGCAAACCTGAATCAAAGTCTGCTACACAGAACAAGCTCTGGGCAAAAACACTACTACTACTACTACAAAAAAAAAAAAAAAAAAAGGAAAAAAGAAAAGAAAAGAAAAGAAAAAACTACTACCCTGAGCTAAACTCGAAGATGGTAGGGGTGTGTTCCCAGGCCCCGGTGGTCTCATTTGGAATGAATAAAAAGCGCTATGTTTTTCCCAAAAAAAAAAAAAAAAAAAAACCTCAAAGATGGACACGTCTGATCAACATCAACCCAAACCGTTTCGCAATCCCAAGGAAGCCTGAACCACCTACTACAGTCTTCCCCCGAATACAACGCACGGTAATTATAACTGAATTTAGACCGAAAGATACGGGGGAGACTGTAGACAGGTTTCTCACCACGCACCCTTGGATTTTCGACGAGTTTCTCACCCAAGGATACGATTCAAAATGTTTGCGTAGTTCCTGTTTTTTTTTTCCTTCAGCATTTTTAAATTTTCGCCTTTTTCTTTCTTCTTGCTGTTTTTGTTTTTTTTTTTACTTTTGAAAAAAGTATCAACTTTGGACCATTTCCCGATTTACGCGTGTCATCCTTGCGCAGGGGCGAGGCTCATTAATTACCCTTCTCTGTATGGTTCCAAATTGTGGTCTGCTGGCTAAAAATAGCAAAAACAAATGGGTTGCCATTTCATTTCGTTGACTTCTTTCGGGTGCAGTAATTACAGCAATTTACAGAGATAGTGGCAACAAGCTAAAAAAAAAATAAAAAAAAAAAAGGGGGTAGCGGCAGTGGAACGCGTCGAAGAAATTTTCGGGTTGAAAAAAGAAAAAAGGAAAGGAACGGAATAAAAAGTTCAAAAAGGGTTAAAAAAAAAAAAAAAAGGGAATTGACTGAAAAAAGCTTAGCTCAGTTGGTATACCGATGAACTCTGTCGAAATGCAGATCGTGAGTTGCGCCTCCTTGTTTGGATTTGCTTTTTCTTTTTTTTCTTTTTTTGGGGGATTTGCTTTCAAACCACAGTGGTCGTGCTTCTGGACTTGGCCCGGGGCGAGGTCCCACTACCAAAGAGGATTGGATTGGCTGCCCGAATCTGGACGCGTTTGAGGAAGGGTGCAGAAAATCGAGATTGGAAGCATTTCCTGCATCTCTGCTTAAAACACGTCCAGATTCAGATCGTAAATGCAATCCTCTTTCCTAGTGGGACGTCGCCGCTGGCGATGCCTCTTCTTCGAGAAGACGGACCTCAACATAATTTTTTTTTTCCTTCTTTTTTTTCTTTTTGGGTCCTAACAACGTTTATGAGAGACGCCAGACAGATCCACTAGCTAAGTATTCTACGCCTCCGTTCAGGATTTCGATCACGTGTGGCCTCGAGTGACGCAGTACGGCCGTCGATTACATCGGATCTGGGCGGCCTGGTAGTTTACGAGCGGGGACTGTAAAGATGCCCACCTCCCGTCCAACGCGATGCGTCGGGAAAAAAAAAAGAAAAAAAAGAAAAAGTTGGACATGATAGCTCGTGGCTTTGCGTGGGCGGGAAGTCTGGATTTTATGGACTCGAAAGAAGGGGGGGGTTGATTTCCAGACTTCGTTTTTTTTTTTTTTTT